CCTTGTATTTTTCTTGAATTGCTATTCCATCTCCAACCACTCCCTATTTTCCCAACTAAATATTTAAACCCTTTGAAACTTAACATTTTCTACCTTTTTTGGCCTAGTCATCCGAAGGACAGAGAGTGTAGCAAAGATTTCGATTAATACTAAAATTAAGAATTATAAACAAGTAAGAAAGCGTATGAAGGTAGATTTGTAATTAATATGACACATCTATGTATTTATTATTTAATTTCATTGACTCCAATAGATTAGTCTTTATTTATTGAGTTATCTTTAATCATATGTGAAAGTCTCCCAACATAGAAACGTAATTTTGGAATTCATTTATATTTAAAAAAAAAAAAACAAATGGAAAATTTCAAAAAAATGGAAGAGATCTTATCTAAGTGAATAATAAATGGCAAATTGTATAGAGTAATTGTCCAAATATTATTTAGTCAAAAGCATAATAAAATGATATTACAACAATAATATTTTTTATCGATAATAAATATACATATTAACAAAGAGCGCTAAAGTCTTTATTAACATTAGTCAATTAACATTGAATCCAATGTCGATCCAATGTCTCTATAGACTTTATGGACATTTACAAAGAGTGATAATTGTCGTTAAAAATAATATTTAACGACAATTAAAATATTATCGTTAATTAATTACCACTAAGAACATTATCAATATGCAAAATCAAGTTGACAATTTGTGATATCCTATTGTTGCTTCTTTTACAATTTATAAAAACTTGAGTATATGATTAATTAAAAACATGGAAGTCTTATTAATGCAACATTATAATAATAATAAAATAATGCAACATTAAACACGCAAAATACTGGCAAGAAATTAGTAATTAGATCTTTAATTTTTTTTAAATTTTTTTTGACTTAGTCTCTAAATTCCCTCTAATAATTGATATACATTTTCATTTAATTTATATTATTCTAAAACAGTCCCCCTCCTCCTCCCCCTTCCCCACACACGTGTTTTAATTTATGTGATATAAATTTGACTCGACACGAAATTTATGAGATTTTTGAAATGTGTCATCTTTAGATAACATGTATGTCTCTATAAGTTTTTAATAACTTAATTTGAAACTTGCAATCTTAAATATGTCAAAACTAAAATCATTTAATCGATAATTGACTTGTTAGTTATATTACTAACGGATTTTTTTCATTGAAAAATCCCTTAATGACAAGCCAAATTTTGAGAAAATATATACATCTACGGATCAATATTCTCCTTTCTTCTTTGATCTTTTCACCCTCCTATTTTTTCTCTCTCTATCTGTTCTTAAAATAAGAAAAAAAAAAAAAGATTTGTTGCTTTCATAATTGTAGAATGTCATAGCATCACGATTTGAATCCTCTCTTACGTTAAGAAAATCCAACAATATATATATATA